ACGGAGGAAAGGGGCGGGCGGAGGAGGGGAGGGGGTGGACAGAGTGGAGACTTTCCTTAATGCTAACCTTATCTGCAGCTCTGCTGTATTCTGAGCGATGATATCTATAGCAAATATGGACAGAGTAGTCGACAGCTAGACCAATAGCCATGACGATGCAACCCATGCTGTAAAGTGAAGTTGAGGTGAATGTTGGAATCTTATAAGATACGGAAAAAGGGTAGATCTAGTCAATCATTGATTCTTGCTCATTGTCACTTCTAACATGAGAATGAATTTTCTAAAGTTATGAAAGTCGCGAAGATATAATTGTAAAGGATACAAAGCAGGGAAAGTACAGGGAAAGTTGGTTACCTTACAGAATCTAGATCGGATCCAAGCATGGCTAAACCGCCACAAACTCCCATAGAGATAGATAACAATGACCATGTCATGAGGAAAACTGATTGCTATAAAAGGAGAGTGACTTGAAGGCCAGGCGATCAGAAGGCCGAGATGACAGTGATATGCGACTTACTGCATCGGGCAAAAAGAAGAATGAAATGAGCGCCATCATTGCTAGAGCTGAACCAATCGTTTGCATCGATGATGGGGCGATAGTATGACGCTGGTCGATAAGGAATGGACTGTAATTGGGAATATTCGTTACTTAGAAGGATATACTCGTTATAATGATTGCCTGAATATGCCGGCGAGGAACATGTCAAAGTCTGGATACTCTTCTAAAATGGCTCTCCAGCGGAAAAGTTCGTCTTAAGGAGGTAGATTAAAGAACGTTAAAATATTTAAAATTGCACATACTTTGCCGTTTATCCCAACTGTCCAAGCCGTAGAAAGACGTTTCAAATGCAAACGCAGCAATACATGGCTCTCCATTACTAACATTATTGAGGAACTTTACATTTTCTGAAAAATTAGCCTCTCATTTTAGAAGGTGTATGAGAAGTATTCACTTACGGCGGTACTGTGAATAATCTATTTGATTAAAGAAATCTCTCAGGTACTTCTTATTATAGAAATCTTTCTGATAATCAACATCAGGGAAGTCATTAAGGTACTGCTGATACTGCCACATCCAGAAATTCGTGGAGACCTAGATTTTGGCAGTAAATGGAGATAACACAGGCTTTGTTCTCCAAGTACTTACCCTTCCTATGGAGTAATTAGTGTGCTCCAATCTATAAACCAGTTCGTTGAGACGAGCTCGTTTTCCAGCATCACGAAGGTCTGGCGGATTCATCACGTGAAATAGTGGCATAACATTGTCAGCCCAAATATATTTGTCTAAAATATTCAATCTGCAGCAGATAATCATCAAACTCAAAAGACTGAATCTTATGAAAATATAAATGAGTGGGGATAATCATGATGTGCGCTCAATAAGAGGGTCGCCATGATTCCTTTGTTGCTTAGCCTCAAATGTAAGAGGGAACGGAAGAGAAATTTCAGAAAATCATAAGCGTAGGAAGAATGACAAATCAGGATCTAGAGCTACTAGAAAATAAAAAATTAGCTTCAAAAAACCTACAACTTCTGAAAAATTGTAACAATTCCTATTCGAAGCGAATTCTTAAAAGTTTAACAAAAACAGTGGTTGACCTACCAGCCAATTTAACGAAGGTTTGGATAGGGGAATTGTCCCGAATATATTTTACTGGGCTGATGTCGACCTGATAAGCATAGTTCAATAATTTAAAATGCTTTTGTAAATTTGTGA